GCACAGCCGCACACGGGTGCACAGCCGCATAGAGCCACACACGGGTGCACAGCCACACACGTACAGCTGTACGCACAGCCGCACACGTGTGCACAGCCACACGCATGTGCACAGCCTCACATGCGTGCACAGTCGCACACGGGAGCCCTTCCCTGTCCCCCGCAGCTCCGCTCCGGCTCCCCGTGTGGCTCCGGACAGCGCCCGGCGGCAACACCTACCCCTTCCCGGGAAGCGCAGCCCCTGCTCGCTGCACAGGTGCCCCTTTTTTGCTTTACATTTGCCTGGGGATTGAGCACCCCTGGGGCTCCTTTTCCACCTTTTCTCCGTGGGGGAAGAGCCAGGAGCCTCCTCTCTACAAGCACCTGAAGCAGCTGCTTGTGGCCCATCGCCGCCCCAGGCCGCTGTTTAATAACCCCCCACTTTTAAGACATATCAACAGCCCTTGCAGCTCCCCGCTCCAGCCCAGGATTATTTCCACCCTCCCTTGTCCTCTTGCTATTAAAAACAAACCCCCAGTTGCAAGGCTGGATGTTGGGGCCAACTGGGGTGTTACTTTCTCTATCCCCTCCTCCAAAGGGATGTTCCCAAAGCTGCTCCAGGTGCACATCTCCCTCCTGCGCCTGGTTTCTGCTGCAAGAGGAAGGTGGGATAAATCCTGCAGAAAAGCAGGACCAGGGAGGAGGGCGTCCTGGCTGCAAGCCTGCTTTGCCACTAAGGGAAAAAACAAAGAGGGGAAAAAGAGTTTACCACTATTGTAGCTCTTTCCTCACATGCAGCTAAACACAAGGAAAGAAATTCCAAGTCGCACCTTCCCATTCCTGCCTGGCTGCGCCAGGGTTGCTGCATTTGCAACCTGCTCGGGGCAGCGCCAGCACGAGGCAATGGGACAGCAGGTGCCCAGGGCGGTTTTCCAGCCCCGAGCTCATCCCCAACTTACCCCAAGCTGAGGAGGAATCCTGAGGAGCCAACGTCCCGCAGCGACGGGGAAACCTGGGAAAGAAACATCCGAGGAAGAGGCCGGCGCCGCCGAAGGGCGACGTCCCCGCGGCGGGACGGAGCGAGCGGCAGGCGCCAGTGATGCTCAACAGGATCTCACGTTTATTATCGAGAAGTGATTAATGGTGAAAAGAAAGGCAACGCCCATTCCTCATTGGCTTAACAAGAAACCGAAGAAACAGATTCACTACACATTTTACAATATTTTTGTCCAGAATTCATTTTCCTGTAAACAAAACTTTTTTTTTTTTAAACCACTGTTCTCCCGCTTTCAAATCAAATTAATCCAGACTTAATTTGTAATCTGTATAATGCACAAGAACAGAACATTTCTTAGGACTCCTAGTACTTGACTTTTTTGAGTAACAAAAGGGTCAGAGAAAAATGAACCACCTTTAGACACAACCTCGCGGACAATTCCTGTTCAATTCCTCTTAGGCCAAAACCTCACGTTCCTTGGAGGATTCCTCTTCTTTCAGGCCAAGGAGGGGAGGAAAAAAAAATTAAAAAAAGAGGGTAAAGAAAAAAGGTAATTCCTCCGCTTTCAGTTGCGGACGTTACAACTCGGTTTTCCAAGTGCAAATGTCAAAACCAGGGGGAGGAGGCGCAAGGGGGTGGAAGGGAGGGAAGCGGCGGGGCTTAAAAATTAGAGAAAAAAGGCATATGCCACTTATGGACTTCAAAATCCAAAAACATAGTAAAAAGACAAAAAAACAAAGCAAATGCTCTGAAATCACAACCAAAGCCAAAAGAAAGGGACAGTTTTTACCTATACTCTACCTAGAAGGGATTTTTTTTGTTGTTTTTGTATTTTTTTTTTTAGTCCTATGTCTTTTGTGAAATTCCAATACTTTTTTTTTTAAACTGCAAGTTTGTAAGAGTCTTTTCAAAGTCAATGAAATTAAGAAAAAAAAAGTCCTAATTCTCTCTGGGATATTTTTTTGCTCTTCTTTCTTCTTCCTTCTCTCTTTCTCCGAAAGACGCTGGATGCAATCGCTGCTGCAGTCTCTGTGGCAGGGATGGCCTTTTACTTGACACGGCCTTGGCGTTCCTGCAAAAGGAGAGGAAAGCAGAGGGAGAGAAGCAGCGTTAGCTTGGGAGGCTCCTAAAAAACTACTGCAGCAGGGGGGGGAAACGCTTTTTCCCCCCGTTTTGTGCAGCAGCAGTTCAATGTGCAGAGCCCGAGACGCTGCATTTCGGCAGCTGCTTACGGCCAACGCGAGAGCATTTCACGGGTCTCACTGCTTCACCGAGAGCGCGGGCACACTGTTAACTCTGAAGCCTACTGATGTCATCTCACCCCCAACATCAGTAGGTTTGCGGGTCTCCCTCTGACAGCACCACATGGTTTCCTATCCAGCTGGAGAAACTGTCCTCTCTCTATCCATCCACATCCCACGGGTCCTCCAACTACCGTAGGGCTGCACTGTCCAACCAAGCCATTACACCGAGCTGCGAGCTGACAGGTAGCTCCAGCTACCCTCGGAGATGGGGGTATCTGGAAAGCTGTCACGCCAGGCAGCACACGCAGCAGTGCCCTCCCGGCTAAACCCGGGAGAAATCAAACGGCTTTGCCCAGAGCGGGGTGCGGAGTCTCCCGAGGGAGTCTCTCTCCGGGAGAACAAGGGCTTCTCCTCCAGCCACCTTGAGCACGAGACGCTGGATAAGCCGGAATCTGGCGCGATGCTTCCCGGCCTGGCCGCTTCTCCCTGCCCCACAGGCAGCCCTCAGGGTACCTTGGGCATCAGGCTGATGCCAATGCACCTTCCCTTCCTCCTCGGCATCCTGCTGGCAGCGGGAAGCGCGCGGGTTCCTGGAAGCAGCCGAGTCCTTTGGCAGCGCTGCTGGATCTGTCAGGAGTTTCACTACGAGAAGCTTCGATCCTGGGCCGACAGCGGGGACGGGCGCCGTTCTTGGGAACCCTCCCAAAAAGGGAGGCTTCGCATCCAACCCGGAACACGGGTGTCCCCCAAACCCAGCGTGTGCCCCCGGAGCGCTCCAGCATCCCTGCGGGAGCTGCGCGGCTGCAGGGAAGGGGAGGCCCTTTTGAACCATTCCTGCACAAGGTGAAGGACCCAAAGCCCCAGGCAACACAACCTCCCCGGCAAGCAGGCTCAGGCCAAAGCGCACGGCCCCTGAAGGAGCATTTGCCCCTGGATAAGTCCAGTGTCTCCTCCTCGCCTTCCCTCTTAAGCCTGCCCCAATTTATTGCAGGTGCCATTTGCTGCCAAAAACACCGCTGCCGCCCAACAGGCTAATAAAACCACCGCGGTGGAAAGCAAAACTAGTCGGGAGCGTGAAGAAAACCAAGCGCTGCAGGGGCAGCCACAAATCCAAGAGAAGGCACCGCGGCCGGCCCGTCTCCGCTGCGGCGAGCCCAGATGGCAACGTGACGTGAAGAGGCTGCAACTGCCCGGGCGCAAGCGGCTTCGTCACCGTTGTCACCGTACGGGGACAGCGGCCTGCGCTGCAGATGGTGGCTCGAGTCCCCGCCGAGCTCTCCGTCCCCTCGCTGGGCAGATGGGCCTGGCCCAAAGCTGCTCTTCTCCTCCCCTGCTGCCAAGGGGAGGCTGCCCCAGGCCGGGAGATGCTCAAGAGCAGGAAAATGCACGAGGCCGCTGCGAGCAACACGCAGGGTGCCCAAAGCCGAGGGGTGAGGGCAGAAGGCTGCAGCACTCGTGGGAGCAGGGACGGAGGCGAAGGCAGCGCCTTCATTCCGGGATGGATTAACGTGCAACTCTCTGCAGCCAACTACCCTGCGCAAGTCTTCAGCTCCTCAAGGCAAAACCTTGGGATACCAGAGTGCAGCGCCTGCCCCTGCCCTCCCTCAGGGCTCCCGAGAGCATCCTCAAGAGCTTTGCCACGGAAAAATGCAGCACGTCTAAGCACCCCTGCTTGGGGTCACTGCTGAGGACAGCGGTGCCGTTACCCTGAAGGGAGACGAGCAGCAGCGCTCTCCTCTCCAGCGTCAACACGGCTCTGCTTGCTCTCTTGCATCCCCTCCTAGCAGGGAGGGGAGTGGGGTAAAACCAGGGGGGTTTACGCCATCTAATCCACTGCGACAGACGCCACGGACACGGGGCTGTGCAGTGGGAGGCACCGTCCTCGTCGGGTCCTGCGGCTCTGCTCAGCCGTGCAGGCCCCGGAGGGCAAAGGGATCCTGTCCCAAAGCGGATCCCCCTCCTCCTCCTCCGCGTCCTTCAGCAGGTCGGGGCCATGTCCTATTGATCCAGGGGGAGGAGTGCGGAAAAGAGACACCAGCCAGACTGCTGTCTCCATCCCGCACATCCCGGAGCACCCGCGGGCTGGGAGCACGGACGGCTGCAGCGCAGGGCCGTGCCGGGCAGGGTGCACCGCGCTGCACCGGGCACCGGGGAAATAGGAGCCCTCTGTCATCATCCTGCTTAACCCACCTCAGTGGTGTCACTGCAGTCCCCAGGGGGTTGCAGCAATGTCACAAGTGCTGTCCTGGTGGGGAAGGCTGATGAGAGATTACGTTATCTAGTCACACGGTGGGGAGCCGGCGACAACAAAAGCCTCCAAGGCCTCGGGGTTTGTGCCTCGGAGCGATGACGCTGCACGGCTGTTCAGAGGCTCTCACCTGCATTAACCAACAGCCTTCACACTCCTGAGGTGGGGACGTTATTTCCACACTGGGGATAGAGAAATGAAGGGCTAAGTGGAGCCTGCGGGAACGCTGCAACGGGAAGGCCTCTCGCTGGCCGCGCTCTGCTCCCTGGGATGACTCCTGCTCCGCGCTGGATGCGATCCTGGCGAGACAAACTAACACGGGAGCTTTCCGTGCACCCAGGGCAGACCCCCGACTGCCGTGGGGTCCCAACTCCAGGGGTGTTTCCTCAGACATACCCAGCACAGCTTTCCCAGCCAGATCTGCTTAAAGCGTTGTTACAAGTTGGCACAAACGATGGACGGGAAGTGCCACTTGTCACCCCTCTCTGCTCCACGTACAGCCCCAAGTCCTCACTGACTTATAACCAAGTAAAGCGTTGTTACAAGTTGGCACAAACAATGGACGGGAAGTGCCACTTGCTTGTTACCCTTCTCTGCTCCACGTACAGCCTCGAGTCCTCACCGATTTATAACCAAGCACAAGGTTTTCCTACAGCCAGCAGAGCTGCAGTCCTGCGTGTGCCACCTAGGAGCGGGGACACGAGCTCCAACACTGCTTAAAGTCACCAGCTGCAGCAGTTGGGTTATAGTCCTTATCCTGTCCCCACTCACACAATGGAGTTTAGCACCAGGAAAGCCAACATGTGAATCCAAGGTGGCCCTTGGAGGGCGAGGAAGTCTTGCTGTTGAAATCAGGAACCTAATCAAAACCCAACGAAGCAAAACCAAAGACCCACGCGAGTCCCTGCAGGGCAAAACC